CTCAAATGTCATCTCATCATAAAGGCCTTTCTGGACTTTCATACATGCTATAACATCACTGATGCTTCTTTTCCTTTTGTTATTTTTCTCCATAATAATCACTCCTCAATATATTATCATCAGCCTCCTCTCTCTTACCACTAGAAAGTAATCTTCAGGTGAATCTGAATGCTGCCCATTTCTAACACCTAGCATAGTACCTGACATGTAGTAGGTAGTACTGCTTGAGTAAATGGATGGGTGGTTGATGGATGAATGGAGTTTTAACAAGAAGAGTGGACCTCTCTTTTTAACAAGAGGAAAGTTCATGATGGCTAGGGAATGAAGAAAATAACAGATGATGTTTTTTGACTAAGATTCAAGGAAATTTGGAATAATCTGACTTTTGAAGACAATTTGAGGGAGGAAGAATAACTGTAGCTTAGAGCTGACAAGTTATCCCTCCCTTTAGGTATCTGTGGTGTGGGTGCCTATTCAGGGACTTCCTTAATTGTCTCCATACTGTACTGCATTCATGGAGAATACTGATTTGCAATACTAACGAAGACAGAAAGGAAATTATCATGACCACTTTCCAGGGGTCCATCTTGAATTGTCCTGGAAGTAATGGTGGATTATTATAAAAGGTCAACAAACTTGGTGTTGATGCTAGTTTATAGCGAAGCCTCAGAAGACAACCCCACATTGGCCAGACAGAAAACTGCTGAAGGAACTGCCAGGCCAGTTTGTTTCAGGCTCTGCTTTCCTGGAGCCTGCAGGGCAGGGGAAAGCTGGTTGAAATCATCTGTTTGTTCTAGGCACTGCCCCTATATCTTCATCTGGGGGCCCAAACTGGGAAGCAGCAGAGTGTGGAGGAAATGTGGTTGTGCCACTGAGGGAGACATCAGTGGAAAGCTTTCTACAGGCTACCACACCTGCCCTGGCTAAACTGCAGGTGCCCCGGGAGCAGCTCTCCGGAGTTCTGGAGGAGATCCACAATGGAAGTTGTGGGACCATCTACCGAGCCAAAATGAACACTGGGGACCCCGCTAAGACAAAGACTGTTATTCTCAAGGCTTTAAAAGGTAAAATGAGAAGTATTCGATGGCCCTTCCCCTTTTTACTTTTCTATTGTGAGTTCCTAATAGTAAATGTTAATAGGGTTTGCAAACATTGAGATGTCAATCAACAGATAGTTGTATATAGAGAGGGAAGAGGGGGTGGAAAATTGAGACAGAAATGTTCTGGGGTCTTTCATTGTTGATGTCAATCCACAATTGTGTATAGAGAGAGGGCAGAGGGGCTGGAAAATTGAGATAGAAATGTTCTGGGGTCTTTCGTTCCCTAGCACAGCCTTACATGTCAAGGCTGTCAAAACTGATTTTTCTATGCTGGATGTTACTCGACTAGGATTCTGAGATTTTCTCTTCATTATTCTTCACTATTTGATACTGTATTTCTCTATTTCTCTCTTTTTGCTGATACTCATGATATGGGCCAGTAATGGTGGATACATAAAATAGAACAAGGAAGAGCAAAAAAATTAATCAAAAGGCTTGGACAGTGATGTTTAATGTGAACAGAGTATTTGTCTATTTTGGCAGATGAAAGCCCATCTAGTCAGTCCTAAGACCTATGACTCTATGTGACCGTTGATTAAAAAAAACATCAGGGACACTGAGCATAATCTTCTAATTGGTCCCCTTGTCTGTCTACACTCACTCCTCTGTGTGGCCTTGAGTGTTGCCATCCGCAGTTGCTTTTTCGTCCTTGTCTTCCACTCATGGGTGATGTTCTGGCCACTAACTGCCTGGTTCTTCTACCCTCCACAGAACAAGCCGAGTTACATGAGGTTCGGGATTTCATAGGACAAATCCAATTTTATCAGTACCTGGGGAAACATAAGAACCTGGTGCAGCTGGAAGGCTGCTGCACAGAGAGGCTGCCACTCTACATGGTGCTGGAGGATATGGCCCAGGGGGACCTGCTCAGCTTTCTCTGGACCTGTCGTCGGGTAAGCAGTAGGGTAGAGGTATTAGGAAGGAAAGGCTTGGCCAGTGTGATTAGCTGTTGACATGTAAATTTGCATGACAAATGACAAAAAAGACATTATAATAGCATAATTGTAATTAAATATCACTGTCTGATATAATTTTTTGTAATGATGGAAATGTTCTACATCAGCTCTGTGCAATATGATAGCCATGAATCACAGGTGGCTTTTGAACATTTTAACTGTGGCGGGTGTGACTGAGAAACTAAAATTTTAAATTTTGTTTAATTTTATTTATTTTTTATTTTTTTATTAAATCATAAACATAGATCATGTATACATTAATGCATTTATGGGGTACAATGTGCTGATTTAATATAGAATTAGGAATGCTTACATCACAATATACCTCATCTTGTTTACTTAATTATTGTGTTAAGATATTTATACTCTGTACTAATAGATCGAACATGTACCCTTGCACTATGCACCATAGGTGTGAGTACTTCATTTTATATGGAACCAGAAAAAACCCTCAACTAGCCAAGACATTACTCAGAAATAAAAACATATCAGGAGGAATCATGCTACCAGACTTCAGACTATACTATAAATCTATAGTGATCAAAACAGCATGGTATTGGCAAAAAATAGAGAGGTAGATGTATGGAACAGAATTGAGAACCAAGAGATGAACCCAGACACCAATCATCATCTAATCTTTGATAAGCTTATCAAAAATAGAAATTGGGGGAAAGATTCCCTATTTAACAAATGGTGCTGGGAGAATTGGCTGGTGACTTGTAGAAGACTGAAACTGGACCCACACCTTTCACCATTAACAAAAATTGACTCTCACTGGATAAACGATTTAAACTTAAGACATGAAACTATAAAGATTCTTGGACAGAGTGCAGGAGAAACACTTGAAGTAATTGGCCTGGGAGAATACTTTATGAGGAGGACCCCCTGGGCAATTGAAGCAACACCAAAAATATATTACTGAGATCTGATCAAACTAAAAATCTTCTGCACAGACAAGAATACAGCAAGTGAAGCAAACAGATAGCCCTCAGAATGGGAGAGGATATTTGCAGGTATGCTTCTGACAAATGTTTAATAACCAGAATCCACAGAGAACTCAGACTTATTAATAAGAAAAGAACAAGTAATCCCATTTCATTGTGGTCAAGGGACTTGAACAGAAGCTTCTCTGAAGATGATAGGTGCATGGCCCACAGACACATGAAAAAATGTTCATCATCTTTAATCATCAGAGAAATGCAAATCAAAACCACTTTGAGATATCATCTAACCCCAATAAGATTAGCCCACATCACAAAATCCCCAAACCAGAGATGTTGGTGTGGATGTGGAGAAAAGGGGACACTTCTGTACTGCTGGTGGGAGTGCAAGCTAATACGTCCCTTTGGGAAAGAAGTGTGGAGAATACGCAGGGATCTAAAAGTAGACTTGCCGTTTGATCCTGCAATTCCTCTACTAAGTGTATATTCAAAAGACCAAAAATTACTTTATAACAAAGATATTTGTGCCAGATTATTCATTGCAGCTCAATTCATAATAGCCAAGTCATGGAAGAAGCCCAAGTGTCCATCGATCCATGAATAGATTAATAAATTGTGGTATATGTATACCATGGAATATTATGCAGCCTTAAAAATATGGAGACTCTTATGTTTACATGGATGGAGCATATCCTACTGAGTAAAGTCTCTCAAGAATGGAAGAAAAAATATCCAATGTACTCAGTACTATTATGAAACCAATTTACAATCACTCACACTTTCTTATGAGGAATAGATCACAACTATGGCCCAGGATGAAGGAGGGAGGAGGGGGGGTTAGGAGGGTAGGGAGAAGGTCAGATTGAGGGAGGGTGAATGGTGGGATTTAATTTAATTTTGGGTACTGTTATGTTTAAATAGCCACATGTGGCTAAGAGCTACCATCACATTTAAAGCATGCACTAGGCAAATAACCTTTCTGATGCTGAGTTTACTGAATCTGTAAAATGGGAATAATGATAATTATTACATAAAAATAAATTATGTATGTAAAAAGATAGCAGTTGGTATATAGTAAGCACTGAACATGGTAGCTTATGTAACCACTGTTACTGATGACTGTAATTTTGTCATTCTTGTTTTTCATTCTGTAACATCTCAATGGTATGCCAGGGGTGTCTCAGGAAGAAATTCAGCTTGTTAAGTTTTTGTACTGGAAATCATATTTTTAAAAATTAAAATGTTCAGAAATTTCTGGACTTAAATGGAAATGCTTTTCCTTTCTGAAGTGCTACCTGTTTCCCTAGTTTCTCCCTTACTAATGAGCAAGTTCAATATTAATTGAGCCTTCTCAACATGCTGACTATTGTACAACTGAATGTAAATATAAAAGGGACCCTGATAATGCCTTCCATCCAGGACAAGACAATTGCAAATCTTTAGGCATTTTAAACCTTTTAAAGAGGTTACTCCTTTATAATTTGTTTTGTGCCCTAACCACACTAGCTTCCATTTTGCAAAAATACCATGCGTCTTTATTTCCATTTCGCTTCATGTATTTTTCTTGTTACACCAAACTCCTCTTCTTCTTTGCAGAGTTAATGTCCACTCATCCTTCAGTGAACATTTACCATGCAAAGAAGAGAGGGAGAAGCTTTTTTATTTCCTTCAAAAGCTTTCCTGTCCCTCTGACTGAGCTCTCTTCTCACCATCGTTGGCCTGAGCACTTTGTACATTTCCTTCATGGCACTTGTAGATACATCACCATTTAGTTATGTGAAATTATTTGATCTTGATGCACATGTGTCTGCCATAACAATAAGCTACAGACAGTATCAGTCATGTTATTTTGTTCACTCTTGCATTCCAAGTTCGTAATGTGGAATCTGGCACATCGTAGGCATTCAGTAAGGATGCATTCAGGTAATGTGCTAAGTTAATCATACTGACCTGCACGCGTAATATAGCTCCAGAAAAACTGCTGTTCTCTTTAGTGGATAGTTTTATATATTTTTTTTCTTGCTTGCTTTTAATTTATCTACATTCTCAATTGTTTTTCCAGTGCAATGAATCATTGTACTTCTCTGCATATCTGAAAATCTTTTATACTAGTCTTTTTGAATCTTATGTTTTTGTAATTTTCCTTAGCTTGATATTTGCACTTCATAGTATCTCTGCCCAACTCATCCCACCCTAAATGTTAATATCATTTTGATATAATGCCTTTTTTCTCTATCTCTTTAGGATGTGATGACCATGGATGGTCTTCTCTATGATCTCACAGAAAAACAAGTATATCACATTGGAAAGCAGGTCCTTTTGGGTCTGGTAAGATGAGGCAAAATGATAAGAGATGGTGGGGATTTTTGTTAGGCTCATGTTTGATGCTATATTTCTTATACTCACATAGTCAAATGGGGTATACAGTTTAAAGAAAAGGAGAAGTTGGGGGCAGGAACTGAAGCACTGATGACTTATTTTTAGTCCCTTATTTATAAATCATTTAATGATTAACATTATATAATGGTACAGGATTGGTAATTCCAGGAAGAAAATAGTCAGTTTAGGGTTTGTAGAAAGGACAAGAAGCATTTTTAAAGGTTTCTCAGTCTTGAAGGCCAGAAGCCAGGGTCAAGAGCTGTATGCCTATGTAGTTGGCACTCTTACTTCCCCAAATATACTCCTAATAACAGAGGTAAAAGAGGAAATAGTAAAGTAGGTAGGGAGAAGATATGGAAAGAGGAAATGAATGGGTGAAAGGCCACAGAACCAGAAGTATACAATTTTATGCCTGGAAAACAAGAAAAACTAGTTCAGAACATGTCTGGCTAGAGACTTGCTTTGATCTGGAATGTGATAGAAAGTACATATACTTATAAAAATCAAGGGCCAGGTGGGAAAGGAAAAATGAGGAGAGGTAACAAGGGGGATCACTCCTTTATTTTAAACCAACTTAAAGAGGTAAGGGAAAGAACTCAGGTTTTAAGAGAAAAAATTGACTTTTACTAGAATTACTCAGGAAATTTACTCATGAAATTACTCAGGGAATTGTTTACAGTTAGCATTTTCTATAGAAAAATCAAGCCTCTGTGAAGCTACTGTTTCAAGTATTTGGTATATCTTGCCCCTATGAGCTATGAAATATAGCAGAGTTCTAAATAGAATCAGGAAAAAGTTAGGAAAAAAGAGGTATTAAGGTGGGAATTTAGTACTTGTGGTTGAAGCACCCATGGGACAAGGGAGCAATCATATCATGTAAATGAATACGTTCCCTTGACGAAGTTACAGTGTTAGGATATAGCCTACCTGTGTTCTGAGCCATCATCACAGAGGCGCCCGACAGTGATGAACTGAACATATTGATGCCTTCATCAGAACTATATTACCTATAACAAGGCAATACCGTATCATTTTTTCTTATTTTTAACAACCTGAAAATTAGTATATTCTTTCATTCTTTTCATTATAATTTCTTTGTTCTAAAACCTTACCATAGACAGAAAACTGCTAGTCACTGTTTCCTTCAACATTAATGATCAGAAATTACCATCTTTACAATTTTCACAGCATCTTGTTTAGTAATCTTAGACCTCAATTTCTAGCTCTTCTGTCACATACAGCTTTTCAACTTCTCTGTAAGTCTTGAATAACTTGATGCCTAAAGAGATGACTCCAGCAAATCAATGTCACCAGATGGAATGACTCCCCAATGCTTTGTTGGCTATACTAGAATCACTTTGACATTTCTTAAAAATATAGGTTATGAGGTCTCTCTTCTTAGGTTTTGGTTTAGTCAATCTGAGGTGAAAATTATTTTTAAAAAGTTCTCAGGCCATTCTTATTTGCAGCCTGGCTTGAGAATTATTACTAGAGTTTGTATAGCACATCCCATTAATAGAATACTTGGTTCTGGTTACCACCACTTAATAACTACGTGATCTTGTACAATCATTTGATTTATCTAAAAGACATTTCCCTAATTCACCTCATCCAGTTATTTTAGGAAGAAAATGAGGTGATGTAAAACTTTGTATAAATTCATTATTTTGACACTCAATTTTGCTATGTATTTGTTACCTTATTAAGAAGATTACTGCTAGAAATTTGGAACCTACTCTCTTTTCCAGTGTCCAGCTGCATTAAGGAAAGTGAAATCAAACAGAGGGCAAGGTTTGAGGCAGAATGGATGATTATACTTTCAAAATCCAGCATTAATGTCATCTGGATTATTTGTTGAGTTAAACACAATGCAAAAAATGTCTGATTAGCATACTTTGGAGGCAGTGTGTCATTATTAATGAGACTTATTCAGAGTAGGAAATGTCCTTATCTTTTTGAGGATTCCTAGGAGTGCTTCTCCTTATATGTGACCCAATTTTTAACCTCAGACAGCTGATCATCTTTGATTCAATTTTGACAGGAATTCCTACAGGAGAAGCACCTGTTCCATGGGGATATAGCAGCCAGGAACGTCCTGCTCCAAGGTGATCTTACTGCTAAGCTCTGTGGACTGGGCCTGGCTTATGAAGTCCATGCCCAAGGAGCCATCTCTTCTACTCGAACCATACCTCTCAAGTGGCTTGCCCCAGAACGACTTCTCCTGAGACCTGCGAGCATCAGAGGAGATGTGTACGGTTTGTTCCTGGCCTTCAGAT